AAAAAGCAAAAGAGAGTCGAATGAGGTTGTATATGTGACATGCCAATGGAATGATTTGGGAGACATGGCTTATTGAGTAAATAGCTTGTTTATGTCTCACACAGACTGACCTAAGGACCCTTCTACAACAACGTATCAAAAGAAAAATAGACGAATGTCTTAATGACGAAATCAACGCAAAGAAAACAATTATACATACAAATGTTACTAGATCAAAGATCAAATCTGATTTGCTATTAAGCTAACGATATTTATATGTTAATTAACATAAATCTATCGTTAATTTTTCTTTTTTAATTTATTAAATAATATATGTTATAGTACTATATATATTTAGAAAAACAACCATAGGTTATTTTTAGAAGTGGTAAATAGTTGAGAAGTAAAGAAGTGATCTTAGTCTTTCATACGGTCAAGATCGGATTTGACTGGTTAAGAATTATGACTTTAATTGGTTAAAATTTACGGTTATGCAAAAAATAGAGGGGTAGTTTTGTAAATTTTACAAATAAACGGAAAACAAGTTCATATACGAACTCATGTAACTCACATATGAACTATATATTCATATGTGAACATGTGTAATTCACATATGCACTATTTTAACCGATTCACATATGAAACCATGTGATTCACATATAAACTAGTTAACTAATTCACATTTAAACATATAGTTCATCTGTAAATCATACGGATTTACATATAAACACGGTTGCCGCCTATTTGTTAAAGTTACGAAATACCCTGTATCTTCTGTGCACTAATACAATGAATTATCTGATACTTCATAATCAAAGCCAACAATGTTGACCAGATAAAGAGCTATGATCACTTCTTAAATGAACATTTTTTTTTGTTAAAGGGGATTTCAGAATTTATAATGGAAGGGGAATAAAATAAGTGGAACATTAATACATGGAATTTTAAGATATGAAACCCTCAAAACATAAAATACAATCGTTCATTATGAATTAGATTCCAACATATCAAAATTAAAGTGATACCCCAATATTGATTGATAAAATTACAAAAATGCCCTTTTTCTACTTATTTAATAATCCTTATTTAATCATATATTGTATGGACAAAATAAAAAAATTAAATAATTAAATTGTTTTTTATATTTGTCATATTGCTTCACATTGGCCTTTTTTACGTAATCAACTCCGCCAAATGTGATACAAAGGATATAAAAGATTTTAAAGAAGAAAATTAAATAATAAAATATAAATTAAAAATAATTAAGAAACATTATTTGGTAAGAGTCCAAAAAATATATATTGATATTTTTGTGAAACTGAAAATTATAATTTATAATAGATATTTTTATTTGTAAGAGATTGTTTGTTTATTTCTTAATAATTTAATTATTAGACAATATCTGAATCGTTAACAGGTGAATCTTGTTTGATGAAAAAAAAAAGTACGTCTCTTAATGGTTTTAAAACCCCCTGAATGATTTTGTATTTTGGATCTCCCTTAACCATTCAACGCCTTAATTTCATTTTAAACAATTACCAAATAATTATATTTCATTTTACATTTTACTATGAGAATCTCTTAATCATTTTGACCACTTAATCTGTTTGCATCAAACCATTCAGCAATTGTCAAACAATCTTTAAATAACAATGGTTTAGTTATAATAATAATAACTAGAAGGGTACTCACGAAATGCAGCGAGATACATTTTGATTTTAATATTTTATTTTATTCTTTATTTCAGTCGATGTTATAGTATGATCTTATGTGATTTTGCAAAAACGATGATGTTTTTATTTTTGAATAAAATATAAATTTGAAGATATCATAAAAATATGATAAAAATATATCGATATTAATATTAAATTAATTATTTAAATTTTCTATTTTTGTATAATTTTTTATTATAATTTAATTTATGT